ATGTGATAAAAAATTAATTCTTTTGCAATTTTTATGAAAATGCACGTTATTCTTATGGGGGAAGCAAATGAGCTTTTGGAACACGCTATGAAATGGATTTATACAACTCGCGTTTTACGGAATATCATGAGAAAGTCTCAAACTGGTACAGAAAATAAAATTATTACAGTTAAAGAAATATGCGAGCCTTAAACGATAAAAATAAATTAAAATGACTGTTTCTAGATTTCATGCGTTTAAGAGAAAAAAAAATCGAACGACCTCTTCTATGTCAGAATTTTTTTTTCCTAGGTCAATATCTTATAAGGTGGTCATTTTAATTGGAAAACTATAAGGAATTCGAAATTCAATGGTTCATAATTTTATAATGCATTCTAACAGAGCTATTGTAATTTTATTGAGAGATTTTAGGTTCTTCTTATTTTTTGGGTGAAAAATTATTAAAGTTCAAAGTGGAATAACTCGGCCGGAAATGGATCGTTTTTGCTCGGACTAGGCTCATTGCACTCGGAAATCATCCAAGAAAAGATATCTCACTTGGTAGATTTTTAGACCGACTGCGTTAAAAATGCCAGTAGAAATACTGAAAAAAATTTTTTTCTTATGTAAAAACAATGTTAATTTACGGGGCTCTGGGGGGGCCATTAGGAGTGAAGATAAAAATCTGCAAAAATTCAGTGATTTTTTTTGAATTTTTTGGAGTCGATTTGGGGGGCGTCAAGAAAAATTTTGGTCCTAAGTGCCACCCTAATGTATACATGTATGACGTATTATATACATAATTATATATATATATATGTATATAGGTGTTTGTACGGCATAAATAGGAAAGAAAATATAATATTAATACACACGCGCGCGCGTACACACACACACACACACACACACACGCATGCACGCACGCACGCATGCACGCACGCACACCCGCACATTACACGCTAAACTGCGTTGTGTTAAAACAAAAGCATTATTACAATTAAATCTTTTGTGGATTTTATATGACAATTTATTTATACAATGCTACATAATAATGTATACTTTATTTAAGATTTTATAATACGTATATTTTTGTTATTATAAATTATATAAATTTATTAAATATAAAATGTTGCGCGTGTATAAAATGATGCACGTGCATATAAACGTACCTTTACGGATTCGCGGCAAATTCTAAAGGTTGCGGAAACAAAACAAGAAAAAAATAAAAATGCAGCCAGTACTTACATAATAGTTTATTCAAATGTTAAATGAATAGATATACCATACATGTACATGTTAATGGTAAAATGTTGATAAATACCTACAATAATATAATACCAGTTTTCGAGAGAGAGAGAAAATTTTAATTGTTCGAAGGTAACCTGTTTTAATAAAGTACGTGCGGGGAATTTTAATATATTGGTGTACAACTTTGCTCCCACCGTTTTTACAGGTATAAATTTATACCTGTAAAAACGGCGGGAGCAAAGTTGTACACCCAATATATTTACGTGTTTTCTTTAAAATAATATGTTTTTATGTATTGATTTATATTATATAGAAAATGACAATCTTAGAAATATATCAAAGACTTGTTAATAAAACGCGATTTTATTTATACAATGTACTCTATATGAGATCTTATATTCACCATACCTAAGATTTTAGAAATTTGTAAATTAATTACCGTTTTATTATAAAATATGAAAACACACATATAGTTATACATAAATTTTCAATATCCAAATAATATAATTAGAAAATAATATATGAATAATATATAAATAAACTTTGTATGTGTGTGCGATATATGGGTAATACAATAAATTTTATACAATAATTTTTTAAACAATTTGTTAAAAATACATAACACTAAGAGTAATTATCGTGGAAGATGAAATTTGTAGATACTAAAAAAAGAAAAAATTTTTTAATTTTGTAAAGCTAAAACTGTTATTGTTTTTTTTTTAATTAATTGTAATAAAAAAATATAATCAATTAATCCATAAAAAGAATATATCAAAAGGTTGGAAGTTTTTATACATTTTTCTAATATTTTATTTTATTGAGCACGTGTAAAAATATATTTTGTATGTTATTATGAATGTGAAACCATGAATATGCCAAATTTAATCGGATACAGATATGGTGACATATTTAGTATATATATGTTTTATTTGTATATTTGTATTGCACATATAACTATTTACTATACATTTTATATAAAAATACATAAATCCGATACATGTGGTTCGTATAAAAAGTTATTGTATATATTTGTATTGATTTACTATACTGAAAACGAATTATTTGTCTTTGATTATAAGAATGCTTGTCATGTAGACATGGAGCAAAGCCAAACATACATGTAACAAGAAACAGTTGTTTAGTTTACATAAAGAAAAAGATATAAGTTAATCGAAATACCAATGATTTACATAAATACATAAAATTTTTCAAGAAATTTTTCTTATATATAAATTTAACGTTTTATTTATTATTTAAATTCTAATATAGAAATAAATCTTTGTGAATCTTTTATACAATAAAAATTCACAACAATACATCTTTATCAATTATTGAAAACGATAGTTATTATTTGTAAATTTTTATTATGATTTTAAAAATGACAATAAAAATGTACTAGATTGTTTTAACAGAAAAGTGATACATTTACTTTTGTGGTATACTTTTTCAGCGTATGAAAATTGATAGTACTGCAGCTTAATACCATTTTGAATTATTAACCATTTAGCAAAATATTTTTCTTTAGTTGTATAAAAAAATAAAACTTATATAGCTACAATCAAATTATTTTTCTGATATAAACAATGTGACGTGTTTTCGTATGTAAAGGTTTATCTCGTTTCATGCTCTATTTGTTTTTATTGAGTGTCTGTATCACATCAAGAGAAACGGTTTTCAACACAAGATGTATAAGAAATAAAATATTCAGTTGCCCAAATTAAACGACTGAATATTTCATAGATTTTATGTAAACATTTATAATACATAATACTATAAGAATGAAAATATATTAATATTACATAAGTGATTCTATGTAATATTCATAACATATAACATTATGAGAATGAAAAAATATTAATATTATTATATATTTATATATATATATATATATATATAGAGAGAGAGAGAGAGAGAGAGAGAGGAGAGAGAAAGAAAGATTATTATACAGTCAGCCCTCTGATAACACGGTCGATTCGTACCGTATTGCATCGAAACCGTACTAAGGGAAATTTAAAAGTGATGCAGACCAAGGGAATGGATTTCGTGCTGTACCTAACTGCAGAATTACTGAAATAATATTCGATTTTGGTCCCCGAGTTAAATACATAATTCGTGCATGAGAATTCCCCAAGTTTATTAAGTTGTGTTATATGGAAATCATGTTCTCGGAGGACTGTGTTATACGAGACCTATCGCAATTTTTGTACCGTGTTATATCGAAACCGTGTTCTCCGTGTTCAAGAGTACCGTATTATAGGAGGGTTGACTGTGCAAATACATATTTGATTTGGAATAACAAAATCAGTTTTGATATTCACGAAAAAAACTTACTTTTTCTTCATCATCAAAAAAACTTCTCCTGTTACATATGACTACTTAATACTTATAGAATATTTAAATAGATTATTTAACATCTTGAATATATGCTTAATTTTCTAAAAAAAATCTACTCAATCAGCTATTATTCAATTATTTCATTGAACATAACGAAGTAATATGATATCGAGACCGTGTCTCCAGATGCAAATACTTTGAAAGAATATCTGTAGTGAATAAATGTACATTTAATTTTAACTTCTCAAGATAGAATTTAATTAAAGATAGCTTTAAAAGAATAAAGCAATATACTATGAAATTTATGTGTATATAACATATTTATATATGTAGTTTTCGTTATAAAAGAAATATTAATTTTTAAAACTTACATCTATATCATGTCTTTTTATAATAATTAAAATTTTTACTTAATTATTTTATCATATAAGAAACGGAATAAATTGATAAATTGTTTATCGTGATATCTTTTATTTGAATAAAAATACATAAACTAAAGTGAATTAAAATTTGAGATATTTATCGCAATATACATAGTAATTTTATAATGCATTAGATTTAATTTTTGTTAGAATCCGTGTCAATACGTAATAGATAAGAGAGAAACTTGTCATTAAAAAAATTAAAGATGAGTTTAATTATAAAGCTGTTAATATAATAATAATAATAATAATAAACATGTATTATAATGTTAAAATTATAAGAAAGTATGGAGAATTGTATTAACTGATTAGTATTCTACTTATTTAGAGAAGATTATTCGCTTTATGCAGTTTCTCAAATAATACTATCTCCATAAGAAATTCATAACAATTACTGTTCTTTTGTATTTTTATGCTTAGCTATTTTCTAGTAAGACTTGTTAAATAGCTTACATAATTTCAGGTAATTAAATTTTTAATAACAAAACAGTACCTCGTTAAGGATTGTTAAGATCTGTTTCATTTCAATCTGAATCTTTCTTATTTATCTTATTTAGCGTGTACATATAACAATTCTTATAAATAAGATATCATATGTAAATAAAACATTGTGATTTTGCATTTACAAAAATATTAGACATTTACTTTTTATTTAATTGAGTATATGAACATTTAAAAAAATTTTTACTTAAGTAACTTTATAATAACATTTAATTGTTATTTAAAAATTTTATTTTAGTGTTAATTTTATTACTTTGAATATACAATTATGTATCATCGTGTATGCAATTATGAATATTATTTTAATTTATTTCTGCAATTGATTTATAATAAAAATTGAATTATTGATTGCAAATAAAAGCGATACATGATTGTGCATGTTATTCATAATACAAATATTTTAATCTCAAAAAATCCTACTTTGAAATAATTTGTATTCATAAGAACGCGAAGCTCACTAACAACAGGAAACTTGTTGGGCATGCTATATCACGTTTATACAATCAGTCTTCTTACCGAGTACGATCCACATAACGATAATATTTCCACCAGTCGAGACGAGTAGTATCACTGCGAATATTAGAGACCAGAAGAGCTTTTGCCACCATGGCAAATCAAATGGCCGTTCCTGATTAACAAGGATGCAGTCATAGAGCGCTTGTCGTAGAATTTCACGTCTTGTTGACTTGTTTAACGTCTCCTCGATAAAATAACGTATCTCACTAAGATTTAACTTTAATAGTAACGTAGCATTGCGTTCTAAAATCGATGCAGTACAGTTATATAAATGCTCTAGATTTAGACCATTCATATTTGTAAGGATTGTCTTTGCTAACGACACTATCGTACGGATAGTCCTGAAATTTTGTTCGATCGTTATATCTTTGTTTGTTTCCTCCAAACAGCACGTTAAATCGATTTCATAAGCTATTATCAATTTCCTCCGACGTGACGCACAATAAACTGGCGAGTAACTGCCATTATGGTAGCTTAACTTGAAAGCTCATTTTTTATTGGAAAATTGTACGTGTAATTGATACAAATTTGTGGTACTTGATTAAAAATCTCACACAGTTTGTTGTTTCATTAGTGCACTTGTTATTAATAATTAATTTTTTAATACAAAATTTTATATACAATAAACGGATTTCGTTCCTTTATTTTTGATTCATTTTTTTACTTCTAAATACTTCTGTTAAATTTATTATTGACCGTTAATATAAGATTGTCTTTGAAATTAGAATAAACGCGAAATGATTATATCTCGCAATCAGATAACTTTGCCATGGAGATTTACAGATATCTAACTATGCACTTGAAAACTACGTTATATTTAATGTGTAAAGATCTCTGCTTTATCTTTACGTTAATTTTGCAAATTAGTTTAATCTTCTCTTAGTATATTTATACATTTAATGCTGTTTTCATTCTTTTTTAACTTCGTCACACTAATTGTAGGTACAACATCTTATAAATAATATCTCATTTTTCTTTTAATGCATTATTTATAGTTGTGTTTTTAAATAACTAAAATAGCACTTGAACTTTTAAGCACTTTTTACACGCATGTTAAACGACTGCAAATTATAGCTTTTCTGTCAGATTTTTTCTATTACTAAAATGCACTTATCGTATCCTTTAAAAGCACAATTTCATTCATAACGAGTTCTTTTTTTATAATTAGTTAATAGAAAGCGCAAATCGTTAAAGACACGATCGTTTTAGTCATCACTGACAGTAACAAACGACGTTTATCACGTTGTGTCCGAGAACTTGACAATGTATATCCGCATGTTCGTCAAATCTTGATTGTCTCTTGTCGATCGGCATCTATTTATTTATGCGCGACCTGTCCATCGATTTGTCAATTGTCAGCATTATTGTCGCAGGATTATCGGAGTCGGTTATGCAAACGCCTATCACGTAAACAGTTAGATTTATAGATGATCGTTTGTCAATTTACATCGTTTGTCAAGCGGATCAAGCCGGTGTACCGCACTGAAGAACCCCGTCGGCGATACTGAAAGGCTCAAAAGCGCGTTCATTCAGTGATGCGTGCGCACCATGAACATTCTCGCACCCCTTTCCTTCGTCACCTACCTACCTCACCGAGGCTTTCCACTTGGGCACAAGTGTCAGCTGATAGGAAAATACGTGAATGTTTGCACCGATTTAAGCCAGATACTAGCGCATTTGCCAATTTATGATAGCTATTTTTCAAGATAAAAGTTAAGAGACTTCCGTCACGTACGGTGGGACACGTCTCAGATTCAACAGATGTTTTATATTACGTGCAGGAATGCATCCGGGGATTCAGTATTTTTCAAGATTTAAGACTCCGATCCCAACATGTTAAATTCACGATATGCTGCAGTATCACGTTTCACATTAGTTTTAAATTATTTTTATACGATTTTATAAGGAGATATATCCCTTACTTTATATTTTATAAAAAAGTACTAGCTCAGTTTAAACACATAGCGGAATAACAATGATTCTGAAAAACTCTTTTATTACAAAGATTTATTACACAATTGCATATCTTACACAATTATTTACAATCATATACTAAATTACATAGTTTATTAAATTATTTTTAATTTAATACAACATATTACTTACTATACATTAATTTATATTATATCGAACTCTTAGTAATGCTATCTTTTCAACAAGCGGAAGTTGAATTAATAAGTATAGATAAAGTTAAATATTACAGAATCTTACGCTAATAAAGATAACATTACATGTAAAATTTATCTGTCTTTAACATGAAAATTTGCATCGGGGAATATGCATCGGCAAACATGCTAAACATTGTAATTCGAGAAGTTACTCGTAGAAAGTAAGCGAATATTTGCTTTGCCAGCAGAGCCTCTTGTTTCGCAGATTCAAATATAAATAGAAATATATATATAAAATAAATGAAAATAAATTTTCCATTCCAGAAATTTACGAAACATTTAATGAATGCCGAGAAGGAATGTCTTATGCTTGAAAAGAAATTATTTTGCGATAAATTATTTTGCAGAAAATTCTTTTTTAATTATTTTTTGCAATTTATAACACTCCACGAAATTTGAGTAATTTTTTTTATGGAGCTATATCGTGACTTTGATAAAGCTTTATCCATTTATCGCATTTGTTTGACGTTCGAACCTGACTTCGTGCTAACGACTTTGTCATGGATAAATGTCATTTTCCTTTCGTGCAAATGAGAACGATAGTAATCGTGACCATATTTCTTCAAAAGTGACCGAGTTATACCTATACGTATATCCATACTTGTTATAAGATTAAAAACTTGATTCTCTGATATATAAAAGACGAAGTTCGTCACGTCAACTTTGTAATCATCTCCGAGGATAAAACTTCAGTATGTTTTATTACTTTTATTGCTAATTTTCGCGAAGAAAAAAAGAAACTATCGCGTGAGAAAGTCGCAGCTAAATATACAATATTAGCGCATTATTACAGATATTATTATTATAATGAATAGTTCTAAGAATTTATATCTGCAGTTTTGCAATGCCAGTAAATTCTCAGAATTATTTAACAAGTGTCACATTATCTTTCTAATAATTTTATATTTATAAACGTAAAATCAAGTTTTTATTACATTTTAATTCATAATTTATACTTTTCAATACTGTTGTAGTATTCTGCATTTGTTTCTTTATTTATGATAAAGTAAAATCTTTTATAAGATAAAGAGATATAAATCTTATTTGTTTTTTAATTGTTGATTAAAAAACGGGGAACTTATTTTTTAAAAAAACACAATATGAATTGCGGAGATATGAAAAGTAGTATTGTGTTTTAAACCCTAGTTCCGCCCTTATAAAACTAAAAGTTTGCAGCTTTAGATGAGCGAAGAAGAAGTGAATCTTTCTTCTTGGTTAACTATATATTCGTATCAGAGTACTCTAACTTAAGTGAAAGTGGAAAAGTATTCTCTTCACGTTCGGTTGACTTCACATTGAGATATCTCATCATATGAGAAAGATCTTGGGAAAACTTTTTATGTATATCTCAAAAAAGCAAATTCCAGTAGCATTATATGTCGACTACTCTTATTCAAATTTAAAAAAAGTTTTGAATATCTTAAATATATAACGACGAAAAGAGATACGCAATTTACTAATCTTTTCAGTTGATATTCTGAGAAGCCAAATGAATTTAATTATCCTTTATACATTTCTATAGCTTGAAAGAGATAATGTCGAAAGGATCGACCGGAACGATTAAAATTGTTGTGCAATAAAGTTTTAATCGCCTTTCAAAACACTTTATTGAGAGAAATGTTTCAAGTGTTATTATAAATAATTTAACTCTAAAATAATTTCAATCATATACAATTATCAGTCTAAATATAAATACCAATTAATTTTTTTAACGTGTAAAGTGTTACTTACATATAAAACATTGAATAATAATGCAACATAATATTTATATAAATATATTTTTGTAACATATTTGTATATCTTTTATACATACATGTATATTCAGCGTTACGAATTTACAAACGTATTACTGTGCAATCAAAAGGTATATATGAAAGACAATTTTTCTCGTGAGATACATACCGTATATAAGGCACAATGGTCTCTAAAAAATCTTGGTAAATTGATAAGCATGGCTTAAATTTTATTAAATGAAAACGAATATAAGACTTGGATGAAAAAATAATTTAATGAGTAAAATATGTAAATATATCATTTAGCAAAATTAATGTTAATTCACGATGTACATTTACATCTGTAATTAACATATCAATTTGAAATTATAAGTAATGCATTTTAAATATAAAAAGGGTAAGTTTTTTTATTTATTTAACCTACATAAATTACCGTTTAAATATTAGAATTATTTTCAATTAACTGTATGTATAAGAAAATATAAAAATATTTTGACGTGTTATTATATGCTTAATAATTAATCAAATTGTGACTGAATATATTTAACTTATTTTTATTTCAGAATTTGACCTTTGTTTTTTACGCGTATCATAGAATGTAGATAGACTAATATTGTTAGATCATGGTGCGCCAACAAATCCCATTATTTACGAAAAATTGGATTAAAATTTTCCTCAAAAATTATTTCTCTCTTGGAAATGCTCACAAAAGAAAAGATTATTTTAACCTGATGCAGTCATACATTCTTCACGATATTTTATGTTACACAAATGAAGTGTAGAATTTAATAAGTTATTTATTAATTATATAGACTTTTTAAAAATACTTTGTTACTCTCGTGTTTACTTTTCTTTTCAATCAGGCATGTATATCTTTTCAGTTAAACGTCAAATATGTGGGCTCAAATAGAAACTTGTAAAGTATCTGATACGTATACATTCACTCAGGAGTTAGAACGCTTGCATCCACACATCATGTATATATACTGTGACCGTACTCGCGGGCGACGGCACAACTTCGTCGCATTCTCTATGACTCTAATTATGCGATAGCTCTTAATTATGACAAAAATTACTTTAAGAAGCATAAAGTGCGGTTTGTCTTTAAATTCTTAGTTAATTCGATACTTTGCGTCATTCGGCAGCTTACGTTAATAGACAATGATCATAATTGTCCTCTTACTTCAATTGGGCGTCAGAAACGAGAGAGCGTGCCACTCTTCGCACAATTACTATGATAATTTGCTCGGACAAAAGAAATCAGTAGCTCAAACAGATTACGATGGACGATAACGAATAGCTCAGCCACGGAATTGACAGAGGGGAGTGGTTCGCAGTGCACGGAAAGGATGTCGGAGAACGAAATAGAGGGAGACTGAAATAATCAAACAGCA